CTCCTCCCCCCTTTCTCCCTCCCTCCCTCCCTGCCTCCATCCCTTAACCCTCTCCTTTGGAATCAATTTGTAGACCCGTGCTGTACGCGGAAGTTAGCTAAAGAGAGGAACATCAGCCAATATGAGATACACATGGTATGTTTATCAAAAATACAGTACGTTCCTGCGCTAGCTTAGTAAAGAAACTGTGAGGTTCGAGGAAAGGAGTCGTTGTCCCAGAGATGGTAAAAGAAATCTTAGCTCTCACCGTTTAACAGAGGTTACTCAGGCTCTGCATTTGTGCAAAACATATAATTGTTATCCTAGTCATTTGCTGTTTTTTTATCAGTTTTCTTACTTTACATCTCTCCCCATTCAGGGTGGTGAGATATTTTATAGGCTGCATCTCCATTAATGCAACTTTCTTTTGTTCGGTTTCAGACCTAACTGGAAAAGGACACTCCTTTGAAAAACCGGGAAAGCGATTGTATCCAGACCACACGCGACTTTGCCCGGCCAAGCAACGTTATGTGAATTCCAAAGAGGCGTTCAAGGGACGTTTCTCGAAACATGCTATTGTCCTGCCAATGGCTTTCGAAATGGTTTGCTGTGAGAAAGGCAACGAAACAACCCAGTCTCCGTACCGCGGTTCGCACTGTCCGGGCATCATGGATTGCCAGGAGACTAAGGCGAGCAAATACTTTGTTGTACGTGATCTTGCGAGCAGAAAAAATGGCGGCTGTATGATTCAACAGATAGTCAAACTAAACAGCGTCCCCGTTGAATGTAGCTGTTACTGGCCCTTATTGTTTGGTAGTAGTCCTCGTTTATTTTTTAACAGACGTCCTGTCTAAACCATAGTCGAAGTTTATTGTTTTCTTTTTTATGTTGTTCTTTACACTTTATTAGAATCCTATTGAAACTCAAACGCTCAACAATATGCCGTTGGACCTTGTCAAAAGACCCCAAAATCAATATCTAAATAAAGTACTATATCTTATTTTGAATTACTCTTTGAAACGTCTGGTTCTCATTAGTGTTTGTAACCTGCGAGGCCAGGGAACAAAGCTGCAAAAGCGATGAATCACAACAAAGGTTTCTAAGCTAACTATTAAACAATAAGATCTTAATTCATCGTCCACAATAATTCTCTGACGACTGACTTCGAGGAGCACTTGAGTGCTAGACTCTTTTTCAGTGTTGTCATCCGCCATTTTTTAATCGTTATGCGGATTACCGCTGTACTTTCGGTCCCAGACTCACGTTCGCCGTTCGTCGTTCACCGTTCTCTTTTCTCTGTTACCCTTTTCTCTTTTCCTGTTCCCTGATTTTAGTAACATCTTTCAATATTACGCTTATAATTCTTATTAGTCTGCTATGATTCATTACCGATAATTTCCTCAGAATAAATTCGCCAATTTTTTATTCCTTATCCAGCGTCTCAGTCGTGAACCACAGGAAAAATGAAAAATATGTGAAAAGAAAGTCCATCTTTAATAGCTCTCGGTAAAATGAAAAATATGTGAAAAGAAAGTCCATCTTTAATAGCTCTCGGTAAAATGAAAAATATGTGAAAAGATAGTCCATCTTTAATAGCTCTCGGTAAGATTATTTTTACGCTTGCTTGGCCAAGTCACAAGCACGTGCGGTTTAAGGAAAGACTCAATCACTACTTATGGCAGGTAAGTTTCATTCAAAAGCAAAATAATGCTTAATCAAGTTAGTCAGTACCATCTCAAAGACGCTGGAAAAAGCCTAGTTTAGATCTACTAACAAAGCCAATTGCGGAAGCAATCAACTACACATCGTAAATACGCATTGTTTTTTCTTCTAGGTCATTCCAAGTATCTTTTTTCTCGACCAAACAAGAATAAAGCTATCACCAGGTGGGTGCTTGTAAAGCTGTGCTTGACAATTACTCTTTCTTTTTCAAAAAGGATAACTGGCTTGACGTGCTCAATTGTGGGTAATGTAAGCCCTCCTTGATGGAGTAAACCGGCAAGACGTTTGTGTTTCTGTTATACCAAAGCCACCTGCTTTGGTGAACTATAGCCCCCTTCTTTCTTTAGCTTCAGACTACAAGTTGTCGAACGAAATTTGAAAACAACTCTAATCCAATTATCTTTTTTCATTTTTTAAAGGCGAAATATTTCCGTACCAATCTTTCTGCCAGGAATTGAATTATGCTAAAAAATATTAAGCCGTGGTAACCTACTATTCAGCCAAGAACAGGAAGAAACAACTGCCTGCTCAAAACCTTTGCGTGACTTATTCGTTGGAAGAAGACCAAGCTTTAGACCTTTAGAGTTCTCCTCGAATGTAAACAATCTTAATAACAATATTGTAATCCCAGAATTCTTAATGAGATATCGCTCTTATTTACCTGTCCGTCCGTTCTTATTATATTGTATGCATATCGAATTTGACAATTGGCCTTTTGCAGTAAATTTCCGGGAGTGATGCAGATGTTCTTGATTCGCCCGCCACCTTGGGGTGACTTCAAACAAGTCTTATGTACATTGTTTGATATTCTGAGTACTTAAAGAACTTGTTGAAATGTGGTTCTTTCCTGCTGTGCTGTCTCAGCAGGGTTGATTTAATTAAAACGCAGCTTTAGATTTTTTTTTTTAATTTAAACACGAACACAATTTGTTAGAGTTTTGTCAGCAATGCTGTAAAGATGATCCCAGATTAATACTGTACTCGGTAAGGTGTTCAGAAAACTGAATTGGATTACTGATATTAAACTAGCGGGAACGGTAATAGTCGGCTATAACACTTTAGTGAAGCAATATCCTAGAAGGAGACAATTAGAGAAAAATAATCTTCTCGGATATGTTTAGAAAATGCTGGATTATTGCATTTGCGATTAATTGCAGTCAAGGCTTCTAGTAAGCTCATGGTGGAATGGACACTCTATATCTTCCAAAATATATTTCTTCAAACGACAATATGGCAACCATTAATGTGTCACCCAGCTTCGTCGTTCACACTTTTTATTCTTTGTTAATAACGGCTCTGGTGCTCACAAAACCTCTAAATGTCGCAAGTTTGCATCAAGCGAAGATTTTTAAACCTGGGGACATCATTATAGGCGGACTTTTCCCTGTTCATAGATCGACTTCGACGGACAGTTCGTGCACTTCCTTATTCAAGGAAGGGGTCGTTTTAACTGAAGCCATGGTTTACGCTGTGAAGTACGTCAATGAAAATAAACTGCTTCCCCAGCAAATAACTTTAGGATATGATATTCGTGATACTTGTGGCAAGGTAATCACAGCGCTGAAGGAATCTCTGGATTTTGTAAATGAAAGGAAGAAGGTTTCGAGTGAACGCGAATCCAATTCCACGACAAATTTGTCGACCTTGACATCGCTTCGAAATCCGATTGCAGTTTTGGGAGCAGGAAATAGTGTTATCTCATCAGCGGTGAATGATATTCTGAGCATTTTTCGAGTGCCTCAAGTTGGCTACGCTTCCACGTCACGATTATTGAGCAACAAGAATCGTTATCCAACGTTTTTAAGGACAGTTCCCTCCGATTCGCATCAGGGAAAAGCGATGGCGAGGATCGTGTCCAATTTGGGATGGAATTATGTGGCAATGTTTGCTTCAGATGACGTATACGGCCGACCATTAGCAGAGACATTCAAAACCGAAGCAAAAAAGCTTGGAATATGTTTGGCTCTTGATATTCTGATCCCGTCCCACCCTCCCAATGGCACGATAAGAAAATTGGTCAGCAAACTTCGCCAGAACAAAAATCTCAATATAATTTTACTCTTTGCTTCCGAAGATGAAGCTGTTGATTTCCTTCAAGAAGCCATGCTGCAAAATGTTGCTAAAAAGCTTTGGATAGCTAGCGACTCTTGGGCAGACTCGCCGAAAATTGCCGAGGACAACGCGGAGGTTGTCGATGGCATGTTACGAATAATCAACCAGCCGATAGTTGTACCGGACTTCATGAAAGACTTTTACAACTTGAACCCGTTTAACAATCCTCAGAACTTCTGGTTTAGTCAGTTTTGGGAGGAAATATTTCAATGCAGTATTCTCAAACACAACATGACATTATTAAAGGAAAACCGTTTTAGTCTAAGGGCCCAATGCAAAGGGAAAGAAAAGCTGGCAGATAAATTCCTTCAAACAGATGCAGTTTTTTCCCGAGTTTCTTACGTCCTAGATGCGGTGCTCTCTATTGTCTTCTCAGTTCGAAAAATCTGTCAATCAACACTTGATACACAAACGAGTTCAGAAGTGCCCCGCAAGAATGCTTGTATCAACAATATCACACCTTCATCAGTTTTGTCAAAGATATTTAACGTCACGTTCACTAGCGTGACAAACCGAACCGTATTATTCAACAAGAATGGCGATGGCATGGGACGATATGATATAATCAACTTTCAAAAACGCGCAGAAGGTGGACTTAACTCAACGTCTTTGAAAATTGGGGAATACGATGGAGAAACAGGTTTCTTAAAATTAGCCCGTAACTCAATCCATTTGCCAGGGGGTGTTACATCTCCTTCTTTTGGCCTCTGCAGCCTGGAGTGTCCTCCTGGTACTTTCAAGGTGGTTTCGAAGCTCATCTGTTGCTGGACTTGTTGGACTTGTCCCAGCGGCAGCATAAGCAACACTGCAGGTGCTTCCTCTTGTACCCAGTGCCTCTCCAACAAAACTCCTAACGAAAGCAAATCCAAATGTGTTTCTCTTCCAATAAGATTCCTTCGCTGGGACAGCTCATGGGCGTGGATTGTAAATGTTACCATACTTCTTTGCGAGTTAACTTGTCTTATCACCGTTGTTATTTTTCTCCACAACAAAGAGACACCTATTGTCAAGGCTGCTAACAGAGAGATCAGCTTTTTGCTCCTTTTTGGGTTAATGTCAGGATTCCTGATTCCTTTACTGTATATAGGTAGACCAACAGATACCATGTGCAAGATACAAGTCATTTCCTTCGGAACAAGCACCGTGTTTTCTTTGTCAATGGTCTTGGCAAGAATTAACCGAACGACTGTTGTTTTTAGATATAGCCAGGTAGCACGAAGGAGTCAATCGAAATTTGTAAGAAAATACTTACGTTTGTTTTTATATAACCGAACGCAAATCATGCTCGCACTTGTTTTTACTGTCATCGAGCTTTTGCTCTGTACTGCATGGCTGTTGTCAAGGCCACCGAGGGTCACTACTCGCCGGCTCACCATGAGAGAAAGATTATTGATGTGTGAGGCGACTACCAGTTTAGGACATATAATTTCGAATGCGTTCATCATTTTTCTAAGTTTACTTTGTACATTTGTAGCTTTCAAATCGAGGAAGCTACCTCAGAATTACAACGAAGCGAAGTTCATTAGTTTCGCCATGTTTGTGTTTAACTTCGTGTGGCTGACCTTTGTCAGTACTTTTTACGGAACTCCAGAGGGAGAGCATAATGTTATCATCAATAGTTTTGCGATTTTAGCATCAAATCTTGCCATCTTGACTCTGATATATGGTCCTAAGCTGTACATTATCCTTTTGCGGCCAGATTTGAATCAAATGTCGGTGTTTAGAGCCATCACGTCACAATACACTTTCAGACCAAGTCGAAGATCTTCCGCCATTACATCAGATATGATGGGTAATTCATGCATTTTGAAGGAAAATAAATATGTACAAACCACCGTGGAAATCAAAGAAGAAATATGCCATGAACAAATCTGCAATGAACCTGTTCGTGTTGCAATCGGCTTTAACAGTCATGATAAAGAAATTAGTAAAACCGTAGAAGTGGAAGAAGAAGGTACAGAGAGCAAGGAACGGAAGGATTTGGAACATCGTACATGGGGACACATCAGGGTGCTTAACATGAGGGCTAAGTCGGATACCGCCTTGAGCAGATCTTTTGACAACCCCCATGCACTGGCTTTTGGAAAAACCGAAGGAAAGCGAGCATGCGTGGAGCATACTACGGACGATGCGAACATGCTCATTCACCAGGAAATCGTCAACCAAAGAGAAAAATCGTCTCATCGTAAATACACAAGTTTGAATGAATTGCAATATCCTTTGAAGGCAGAGGCAGCAAAAGAAAGCATGCATCATTTATATCGACAGGAGAAAGAACGGTGTGCATTCTCATCCAAAAAACAATTGGAAAGTGAAGTGTGAGCAAACTTCTCTGAAAAACGTAACTAAACGAGAAACGTTCGAATGCTCCGTGTTCAGAGAGCCTAAAATCTTATTCACTCGCTTCTGCCTTTCTCTCTAATTGCCTCTAAGTCTTGTTATGACACATGACTTACCACGAAAATTCTAATTGTTCGAGAGCATACAGTTAAAATACGATAGCGTGTGAAGTTGACATGATAATCCAATATTTGCAACATCTTTGGGTTATAATGTCGAGTTTAAAGTCTACCTAGTTTCCAAGCCCCTCTTCTGTTAGTGTCAACAAACTTTTTCAAACTCAGAGAGAAGTCGAACAACAACAAACATATGAAACATATGAGTGAACTGCGGTTATGAGACGTATATAAGAACGATCCTTCGCAGTAAAGCACTATTTGAGCAATAGTGAAAATCAGACCTGAAAAAAATTTCAGGCCTGTACGGGATTCGAACCACTGACCTCTGCGATACTAGTGCAGCGCTCTACCAATTGAGCTAACAAGCCAACTGGGAGCAGGCCATCAAATTAATTCGATATAAACCCGTAGATGATAAATCAAACAACAACAAACATATGAAACATATGTGTGAACTGCGGTTATGAGACGTATATGAGAACGATCCTTCGCAGTAAAGCACTATTTGAGCAATAGTGAAAATCAGACCTGAAAAAAATTTCAGGCCTGTACGGGATTCGAACCACTGACCTCTGCGATACTAGTGCAGCGCTCTACCAATTGAGCTAACAAGCCAACTGGGAGCAGGCCATCAAATTAATTCGATATAAACCCGTAGATGATAAATCAAACAACAACAAACATATGAAACATATGTGTGAACTGCGGTTATGAGACGTATATGAGAACGATCCTNTCGTTCTTATATACGTCTCATAACCGCAGTTCACTCATATGTTTCATATGTTTGTTGTTGTTCGATTTATCATCTACGGGTTTATATCGAATTAATTTGATGGCCTGCTCCCAGTTGGCTTGTTAGCTCAATTGGTAGAGCGCTGCACTAGTATCGCAGAGGTCAGTGGTTCGAATCCCGTACAGGCCTGAAATTTTTTTCAGGTCTGATTTTCACTATTGCTCAAATAGTGCTTTACTGCGAAGGATCGTTCTCATATACGTCTCATAACCGCAGTTCACACATATGTTTCATATGTTTGTTGTTGTTTGATTTATCATCTACGGGTTTATGTCGAATTAATTTGATGGCCTGCTCCCAGTTGGCTTGTTAGCTCAATTGGTAGAGCGCTGCACTAGTATCGCAGAGGTCAGTGGTTCGAATCCCGTACAGGCCTGAAATTTTTTTCAGGTCTGATTTTCACTATTGCTCAAATAGTGCTTTACTGCGAAGGATCGTTCTCATATACGTCTCATAACCGCAGTTCACACATATGTTTCATATGTTTGTTGTTGTTTGATTTATCATCTACGGGTTTATATCGAATTAATTTGATGGCCTGCTCCCAGTTGGCTTGTTAGCTCAATTGGTAGAGCGCTGCACTAGTATCGCAGAGGTCAGTGGTTCGAATCCCGTACAGGCCTGAAATTTTTTTCAGGTCTGATTTTCACTATTGCTCAAATAGTGCTTTACTGCGAAGGATCGTTCTCATATACGTCTCATAACCGCAGTTCACACATATGTTTCATATGTTTGTTGTTGTTTGATTTATCATCTACGGGTTTATATCGAATTAATTTGATGGCCTGCTCCCAGTTGGCTTGTTAGCTCAATTGGTAGAGCGCTGCACTAGTATCGCAGAGGTCAGTGGTTCGAATCCCGTACAGGCCTGAAATTTTTTTCAGGTCTGATTTCCACTATTGCTCAAATAGTGCTTTACTGCGAAGGATCGTTCTTATATACGTCTCATAACCGCAGTTCACTCATATGTTTCATATGTTTGTTGTTGTTCGATTTATCATCTACGGGTTTATATCGAATTAATTTGATGGCCTGCTCCCAGTTGGCTTGTTAGCTCAATTGGTAGAGCGCTGCACTAGTATCGCAGAGGTCAGTGGTTCGAATCCCGTACAGGCCTGAAATTTTTTTCAGGTCTGATTTTCACTATTGCTCAAATAGTGCTTTACTGCGAAGGATCGTTCTCATATACGTCTCATAACCGCAGTTCACACATATGTTTCATATGTTTGTTGTTGTTTGATTTATCATCTACGGGTTTATATCGAATTAATTTGATGGCCTGCTCCCAGTTGGCTTGTTAGCTCAATTGGTAGAGCGCTGCACTAGTATCGCAGAGGTCAGTGGTTCGAATCCCGTACAGGCCTGAAATTTTTTTCAGGTCTGATTTTCACTATTGCTCAAATAGTGCTTTACTGCGAAGGATCGTTCTCATATACGTCTCATAACCGCAGTTCACACATATGTTTCATATGTTTGTTGTTGTTTGAACTTGATAATGTTTACATATTATTCAGATTAAGAGGTGTCAAATTTTCAAGATTGCCTAAAAAATACTGCTTTCAAACACATGTGTAACATTAAACGATATTGACATCGAATCGTCATGAAACTGTTTATATTGTGAAGTTATGAAAACCTTCAGATCCGAAGTGTCTAAGACCAATATTTACAAGCTTTCGACAATTCTTTTACAAGACCTTTGTTTGTACACGTGACAAAACATCGGCCGGTTACTATGGTGAATAGATCGCCAAAATACGCTGTGTAAGTCTAATGAAAGCATCTTCATATTTAGCTTTGGACGCGATACCATCATTAGGTTGTTATGAGATAGATAAAATCAAAATTGCAAAAGTTACTGTTTCCCATGGAAAAAAGATTTTACATACGGGGCCTACCCGTTCCTCTCATTAAAATTAGAACTCAGTTACTTAGTAAACTAGAAGCTGTTGTTAAGTTTGGATGCTGAATGGCAATGTCCAAATTAAAACAGAAAGTTAACAGATCGCCATTTCTCGGTATTCCGGGAAGTTGTTTGCTTATTATCGGCTTCTGCCATGTCTGCGTCGCTTCGTTTCTAGCCTGTGCTATCCTGGAAGTTTGTTAAACAGATGAGCTTGTTTCATACTTGTTCTCAACTACAGGAGCAGTAACGATCAAGACGACGATTTTTAAAAAAAATTCGTTCAGAAATGACAATTTTAAAGCAAAAACAGAGTCAGTTTTTCGCTCTGCTTATTAGCACCTGAAAGCAGTATTCAGTTTCATCTGGACTACAAGAATGAAAACTTCCGTTCGGTTTCCCTACACTCCGAACTGTTACGATTTCATTAACGTCGTATGTCGATTTGTAGACAATTCAACGGCTACGAAGTGCGCAATTAAGTTTTCAGAGCCAGGCTCTTATAACTTCTGTCTGTGTTTAGTATTGTCTACACCGCCCTGGTGTGTATGAGGTCGAAACTGAAATGTCGAGAAATGATTTATGTTAATAAGAACTGGTAGTTTTATCGCATTAATACACATTCAACTCATCAATAATTCTCCTTCTAATTGCTTTTGTTTCCTTTTATAGATTTACATAGAGAAATTAAGTTTTTTTGTTTTTTTTTTGTTTTTTTTTTATTTTTTTTTCGTTTTTGGATATTTATTCAGAAATTTTGCGTGGGAACTTAGCACGCGGCTGGGCAAAATTGATCCCCTCGTCTATGTTTTTTGCGGACGTGTATCGTGACGCGTGACAGTCACCGGTGCATGGGGTCGGTATGCATCAGATAAGAAAAATTCATTTCTTTTAAAATAGGTTTAGTTTCTCTTATATTTTTTTAATATACAAAATTGCTGAAGTATTTTCATATTAAAGTGCAGGGTCGCCCACCGCTTTGTCTCATATACAGAGACGTCGTGTCTTGAAACGATGACGAAAAAGGAATCAAGTTGAAGCAAACTGAAAGCCTTTAGGAAGACGTAATCAAAAATCTCCTCGAATTAGTTATTTTATTTAATTCAATCTTTCGCCTTTTATCTCCACCATTTCTTAAACTGAGAGCAGCGCACCTTCACGGGGATGGCGTTTTTTTAAATCAGGCTGACACTCGAAATTTTACTTTTTCATTTGCTGATGAAATGAAAAGTCATTAGATATCGGCGAGGGTTCAAAGAATTCCTCTCTCCGTCATTTGATCAGTTTTAATTTAATAAAGTGTACATGACAGACTGATCTGCCATGTTTTTTCGGCTCGTAACTTTTACAAAACAAATTTTTTTATTTGTACTTTAAAGTACACGTTTGTAAAATAAAGCAAATATTAAGACTGCCACTGAGTCAAAATAACATTGCCGCAGCCAATTTCGCTAAAACCGAATTCATTCATCATTGGCATCCCTTCGTTGCAGCGGAACAAAAGCCGGGGGAATTTAACGATTACACGACTTTCGAAAGATTTTTTTATCATTTGATTGCATTTCATTGGTATTTTTACCGTCACGATTTTGTCATTCATTGAAAGATATTCAAGGGGTCGATTTGAAATTCCAATGATGGATGCAGAGAAAGAGATTTTCTAATTTATTTTGTAAATACTGCACAGACGCAAGAGCGACACTATGACGATATGATTTGCTCATGCAAGGTAAAATTTTAAGTACTCTAAAAACATATCTGTATGAGTAAAGAGCCATATCTGTATATTTTTTCTACGTGTTCTACGATCATTCATCAAAACTTGCTGTAATCTGTGAAGAAATTTTTTTCAAGATTCACACGTACACGAATAGGTTCCTGATATACATACGAAACACATGCTAGACTTTTAACACATTTTCCCACAACAGGTTCAATATTGTGGAAGTCGACGCAACAGAGAAGCCATCATTAAACCGTAATCGGATGTGAGTCATTTCAATAATCAAACAAATAGCCACGAGGTTTCTATAATGACTAATTAGGTTTTCTCGGTGTTTTTATGAGAAACATCTATCATCTGAATATCTCAGTAACCGATGGTCAAGCTGGCGTTCTCAAAAGACTCTTAAGGCTAATCTTGTTGTGGTTTTTTGTTACTAGTAGCCGCGAGCACTGTCACCGTAATTGGCGCCAAACAGACACTTTTCCCGCCTAAATCGCACACTGATGTCAATTGAGGCAGCATGTAGGCGACCGCGGCTTTCTTTGTCAGAGATAAGGGAATAAACGAGTCTCGTCGAATAGGTGACATCTTTTTATATAACCATGTAAGTTCGAAATGCGTTTTCATAAGATTCTTTATCAGCATAAAGTACATGTATAGTCCTTTGAAAATATCGTATCTAAATTATCTTTCTCTCGTGAAGGTGAAAATTATTGGAAAACTTCAGTGACACTTCTGTCTCTCTATTCAAACAAGTCGCTGAGTAAAATACATAGCCCGTGGTGGTTTCATATTGTTTTGTGATACACGGAAATACCCGTCGTCATTTTTTTCTTTTTTTATTAATTGCGGCTACAACTTTCGTAGAGCTCTTATATATGCTTGCTCGATAAAGTGACCCCAACATTTAATTATCGGCTTTTGGTTGTAATGTCAATATCAACTGCATTGGTTCGTCTCCGCTTGACATTTCATAAGCATTTCTTAGTTTCTGAGGAATATGTTTTCATATGTACCTCTTTTGTTTCACAAAGAAAAATTAATAATCCCCCCCATTAAACGTCTCTTTGCACAAGGCGCCGGAAGGACTAGCTGACAAAACACGCGTGTCGCCAGCCTAAAAAAAAACTTTGTCGAAGTTCAGCTCAAATTATCATGTGTTCGCCAGTTTGCCCAAACAAACCACCTCATTTGAGCTATATACGGAAAGTGGAAACAGCTCGAGTTTCGTGGTCAGACATTGCGCTGTGCGGTTTCAGCCTCTGAAAGGACTCTGACTAAATTCGAAAGTATTCCCTGACAGTTAAAGCTTCCTTCTTGAAATTCTTCCCCTTGAACAGAATCGAAACAGATACAGTTCTTCTAAGCCAACAGTAACCTACTTCGACACATTTCTCGATCTAAGCCTCATCTACAGAGTAATTCGAAGCATTGATCGAGTTTCACACGTTCTAAAGTCTTCTCCGAACAACGTAAAATAGAAGCTATTGTTTGCGGTCGTATTATTGTTGAAGTTGAAGAATGCGGGTAAAGGAAATGATGAATAGAATCGTGATCTTGATGGTAACACTGTTTGTAACCAGGCTCCCCATCGTGACAGGTTAGTGGACAATCAACGGCACATGTTCTTTTACTAGCTACAGGTTAGAAGAAATGTTTTAATGACCACTACCGCTTATAACACTGCTCACTATTTCAAGCCATCAAGCAAGATTTTGAAATCGAACTAAACCTTTACCTTTTTCCATAACCATAAGCCAGTTTAAATAGCCACGACACTCTGGAGTTAATAACTCTTTGACTTCTCCGACGGATTTTAATTCAATATTTCTTATCATATATATTTGCTCAGAGTTTCTATTTGTTTTTTCCTTGCCTAAGAAAAAAACACGTTTAAAAAGCAATATCTTAGACTTTCTTAAGTGAAGTGAGACAACTTTCGATTTCCTTTGAAGTCTGGCATGAAAGTAAAATAAATACGGCTCGACCTTTTCCTGTAAATTGTCCTCGTTTAGTGTTATCAGAACAGATGGCAGTTTTTAAAACACGGACCCCGTATCAAAATCGAACTAAAAATAAAATTGTGAACATGAGTACATCTTTTTTTTTTTATCTGGTGTGTATGAACATTTCAGAAATATTTAAACCAATTCATATCGAAAGCAGGTTTTTGGGAATTGTTGATTCTATCAACACAATGGATCACCCGGCTTTCTCAATAGCGACTAACTTAAGTCTACATGTCAATGTTATCAATATCGTAACCAACTTGAACACGATGGTGTTGGGGTAAATTTACTTGCAGCGGTATTTCATTACGTTAGTCTTACTTCCCGCTCAAAAATACCTTTGATATTGATCCGAGACTAGCTATATGGACTATTGATCGACGCTGTTTTAAAATCACAAATTACGAGTGGACTAGCGAAGTTATTGAATAGACAATTAATTGCACGCGCCACTTAAATTTCATTCTGTTTGTTGGTGAGAAAAATTGTTCACAAAAAAGCCGGAACTAACAATCGAAAGTTAAACAGCTGGTCAACCTTTCCTTGATACTATTTAAAATAACAAGAGTTTTACCAAAAACGTTTCATACTCCGGCAAATTACTTTTATTGGATGCTAAAAACACTTAATTTTTTGCTCAAGTCAAAACTGAGATTCTGAAGCCTTATTTCAAAACATTTCATTTCACAAATAAACATTGCGAGATCTTTATTTTGCTTAATTCTTATTGTTTACGGTGCAATGCACTCATTTATATCGTTTAAAAACATATGAACATATGCAGTTTTTTTTAATACAGCTATAATTCTACTAAAAATCAATTTGATTTCATATATCTATTTGGAAATTTCTTTTTCTACATCTTCATGTGTGGCCGACTCGTTAGTTCATATTCGTTTGTTTAGAATTATATTTTGTTTTGTTTGTTTTTATGTTTATATATATTTATGTTTATATATTTAAATAGAATAAATGTTTGAAAAGAAAATTTGCCCTGAGCAGGATTTGAACCCATGTCCCCCCGTTTATTTTTATATATATATATATATATATATATATATATACATATTTGGCTAATAATTTCAGGTACAGCGCTATCCGACTTTAAGTAATGACAAAATACGTCGTTTCAAATCTCATTTCCTGACTCGTTAAATATAAAATATCGATTTATGATATAATCAATGGCGTTTAAAGGCTTAGCATAATCACCCACACCTTGGATAGTGTATCAGAGAAGAGATTTCTTCTCGTTGACCGTTTCTCTTTTGCTCTTGAAACCAAAATTACTCACAAACTTAGTATTTTTCTGATTAAAATACTTTCGTGACCGTCAGTGGAAAAGTTTACCTATACTCAAAAGTGATGATATTCCTCAATCGATACCAATGATCATAAGTTTGAAATTCTGTGACGTGAGCCATATTCTTAGGCTAACCTTTCTATACATTGCGAACGGTGACATAAACATTGCCCTCAGTCAAAAAGTCGAAAATGTAAAATATTGTTA